CCCCCAGCACCTGGCCAGGTGACCACGAATGCTCATACAGCCGGGCCAAAGGCTCCACGATGACCCCTGCCAGCTCCCTCAACACCCTTGGGTGGAGGGCATCTGGACCTGCAGATTTAAAAATGTCTAGCCCTTCCAGAAGATCCCTAACTACATCTGCACTGACCGAAGGCCTGACAGAGCTATCCCCAAGATTGTCCCTACCTCTGGTAGGAGGGATGTCCCAGTCCCTGTTCAAGAAAACAGAGGCAAAAAAACTGTTAAAAATATCAGCTTTCTCGTCTGGCATAGCCACAAGATTACCATTTGAGTCTTCCAGGGGCCCTACATTGCCTGGTGCCCTCTTCTTGCTCCCAATGTACTTGAAAAAGGACTTTTTGTTGTCCTTAATCCTGGACGCTAGCCTGAGTTCCATCTCTGCCTTGGCCTTCCTACATTCCTGGGCTGAGGAGCAGTACTCCTCCTTGGTGATAGTTCCTCCCTTCCACTGGTTGTACGCCTCCCTTTTAGTCCTCAGGCATTGCTGAATGCCCTTGCTGAGCCAAGGGGGTTTCTGAGCACTCTTACCCCCCTTGGTGACTGTCTAGCTTCGAGACAAGGGCCATTGCTTCCTCTGTATTAGAACATATGGAGTGCCAATTCTGACAGTGGCCTTCAAGTGAAATATCTGTCACCAAGCTCTGCTATTAAGATACTGCACACTTTTGTTTGAATTCCAAGTTTATTGACTGATAGCCCTGGTACCAGATTCCCTGAACTGCACGCAGAATAGGCAAGGTTCCCTCTGCTTGCTAATAACTTAGCCCTGATCTGGATGTCCAACCTACAAGGATGAGAGGGTCCATTAAGCATTTGTTCTACTGTCAAGATGCCCAGTGAGTGTCAACTAATACCACTGGTGTGCATCTCAGCCTACAACCTGGAAGAGGAAAGCTGTTATATCCTGTTACTAACCCTGCAGGTCATTGACTTCCAGGACTTTTACACTTGGTTCACATAATACTAGTGCAGCATCTTATTAAGAATCAAAAAGAAAACTAGCCACTTCCAGAACAGTTTGCCTTTGAATATTGTAACTTCCAATCAGTGCTCATATACTACTTTACACTGCAGTTTCTAGCATGCCTTATTGTTTGTAACGTTAAAAAAAAGCCACCTCCAGTTACACTAGGTTTCCATTCAGAGTAACCACTTTATACTATGAGCTCAGTTTCATTAAGCATTAGTTTCACAGTTGCTAGAGTCTTAGCTCACGTTCTAGGAAATGCCCTGCCATTAAGTGAAGGAAAGGGCTTTCTTCTTCCAGTAAATGAGCTGTGTAGATGTGGTCCGACAAGGTGAAACATTGCACTGGAGTTTGTTTCTCACTCAATAGCACAGCATGGGTTTTTTTGGTTTGTTTTTTGGGGGGAGGTTTGTTGTTGTTTCTTTTTAAAGCCTTGCAATCTAATACCAGTAGGAAATGAGACCAGGCAGTTCTTTTTCTACTGCTGGCACAGTACATGGGCTGCTTCAGTCACCTCAGGAAGTATTGCAATTTTCCTCTCTCTTTTATTGGTAGAGAAAAAAACCAACACTGAAATTCCTGTTGCTTTCAACAGCTTTATTTACTTATTTTTGTAATTCTGCCACTGAGTGACTGTGGCACTAAAATCCAGCAGCATTCTCCTGGAATCATCTAAAACATGCTTTTATGTGGTTATCTGAACCACAACATATAGGGATATTATTAGCTAATGATAATTACAATTATTCACATTTGCGACTAATCATCTGTTCCCCAAGCTTTACATTTTTGATCCTCCACAAACTGGAGTTCTTTTTCTGGGAGCCAAACAGAAACTATGACCAGACTGATTTCTGCTGATAGGAGAGTATTTCTGCCATGCCATTTGAGCTCAGAGAGAGGCTTGCAGCCACGATTCCCAGTTTATTTTTAATAAAGTTACACACACAAAAACTGAGCATGTGTCTTGGAGAGAAAATCGACAGCATACATTTATTTAATCCGGTATTGATAATGATAGTAATGGTTAGCCTTTATGTAGCTCTTTTCATCTGGAAATAATTAATAAATAGTAGTTAAGAATCAATTCTATTTTGCTGAGAGAGGGATGATCTATCAAATTGCATTAAGCAAGTGAGAGAGCCAGGAGTGCATCTCCTTTTCTCTCCTACTCCAAAACCTCCAGCCCACTTCTTTCAGTACTAAACTGCTAACTCAAATCCAAAGTGCAGCATAAAACAAAGGCCCAGTCTTATATTGGGGAGGTTGTGAAGGGTATTCCTTCCTAAACCCAGCAGGTAAACTGCCTGTTGCACAAAAACACAAGGGCTGATAATCCTTAAATTAGCAAATATATGTATGAATTTTACTGACCCTGTGGCAACCCTATTTTAAAAAATCCACTGATATATTTTGCTGGCAGAAAACTGCATGTCAGCTACCTGCTTTTCAGTAGCAATTCTCTGCTTTTTTGCATACCAGGAAGTTTAAGAGAACAAAGAGAAAGAAAAAGATTGGAAAATTTAACAAGCTGTGAAGGAACAGATGCAGTACCTTACCTGGAAATAATCGGTGATGAAGGATCCAAGTTCACTCTTCAACAGACGCCTGAAGGGAGAGAGAACACACCCTATGAACTAAAGGTTTTGCTGGTCATCTCTCACAGATATATTTGCACTTCAATCACCCCCTGCAGTCATATCAAAGATGTAAGGATATGTATACCAGAAGGAAAAGAAATCAATCTGCTCACAACAAGATTCCTTTCACATTGATTCATACCTTCTTCAACACCAGCAGAGACTAGGCCTGGGTAGGCAAGAACATTATACTCCCTACAAGTCTGTTTATGTGGATCTTATTAACAAAGCTGATGGAAATTTTGGCTCCCAAAAAAGATTTCAAAAGAATTAACTAATTAGCTGAAAGTACATTTTCATTTACTTTGAATAAAATAAATATTTGTAAAACAAAGGATTTTTCCTCCCCCCTCTACCCACCAACCATGACATTTCAATTTACTATACTTCTTCATCCTTTCCAGTACAAAAAAAGTTGAAGAATGAGGTACACAATGAGAGTAAAATAAGAGAAAAAGTCCCCACTTTTTTTCCAGCAGGAAAACAAGAGAGGTTTTTGTTTGTTTGTTCATTTTCCCTCAATATGATTACCTCCAAAACCTACAGATTTTTAAGACAGACAGTAAAGTACACACATTATTGTTATCATTATTGAAACTTTCAAAATGGATTTAAAAAAACAAAACTTTTGAGCATCCTAATAATAATTAAAATTTCAGCTATCACCCAGCTACATTAATACTTGTGTATTAATGAGCAGTGCTGGTAGCTTTTCTTCTACTTAAGGTTACCTGACACTTTCCATTATAAGCTCTTGTTTCCTATTACTATATTTACTCAAATCTAAGATGAGGTGCTCCCCCCTCAACAGTAGTGTGGGGAAAGCCCCTTGTCTTCGATTCACATACAAAGCAGAGAAGGTGGGAGGCAGGCGGCTGCTGCAGCTCTTACTCTGGCCCTGAACCTGGGTTGGAGCCAGAGTAAGACCCACAGTAGCCTCTTGCCCCCTGCCCCACATGTGGGGAGTGGGAGGGAGGTGGGGGGGAGGAAGAGGCAGAGACTGTGGAGTGGACATGGAAAAGCAGAGGCTATGGGGATCTGGGGGTGGGGGATGCCCATAGCAGTGGAAGGGAAAGAAAGTCTGCAGGGGGAAGAAGTGGAAGGGCAGAAGTCAAGGGCCATCTGATCCCCCCAGCCTCTGCTTTCCCTGTTGCAGCCGTGGGAGGAAAAAATTCAAGACAACCCTCTGATTATTCGAATCTATACCTGGAAAATTATCACAAATTTATACATTTTCCATATATAGAATCTAATTATTGGGAGGGTCATCTTAAATTCAGGGTCGACTTCTATTTGAGCAAATATGGTACAGAGACAATTGTCAATCCTTCAACCATTCAGGCTCAAAATTCCTCTGCCAGGTCTCCACCTCAAGGGTGAATTTTTCTTGAAAAGTTTTGTTTAGTTCAGTAGTATCCAACAGCAAAATTGGGGAAATGTGCAATTTTGCCTTAATGTGAACTGTATTGTTGAAACAGTGCAATATTCTGGTGCTTTGGAGCAAGGAGCCTAGAATTTGGTGACAGTGAAGGGAGATCAGAAAGATGCGGTTTTTTGCTGTTCCTATAAAAATTAACCCAAAAGTCAAATTGAATACCTCTAAAAACATCACAGGTTGTTCATGTTCAGTAGAGACTTGTTAAGAGTTTGATGGTTAAATTCTCTGCCCTGAGTATGCTGCATCCCAGAGCTACAGATGCATGCAGGCAGGCGGAAGAGCTGTGAGAACTCAATATCACAGGAAAGGCTTTGCAGGCAGGATGCCCATGCCAGGGTTGAACTGTACAATGAGGACATACCCACAGAGACGTAGAACAACTGTCTCAGATTAACACAGAGAGATTGTGATGGAACTGCTATTAGAGCCAGGGAGAGGTCCAATCCTGAGGCCTGTGCTCTAACTAGCTGATGACACTACTACAGATTTTTTTTCCTAGTCTTCATTCAAAGTAGATTCTCACGATAAAATATTTCTTCCATAAAAATTGAGCTATTGGTGCTTTAATTCCTTCTGAACACTTGTATAGATCCCTCCCAGGACCATACGCGTTATGCAAGGATTTCAGTCTAAATTGTTTGTGGGGGGGGAGTGGTTTGGTGGGGGAAAAGAGAGGAAGGAGGAGGGAAAGAGCACAATGACAAGAGCAGCGTTGTGGCAGCAATCCAGAGCAAAGTTTTTAGCAGTCACTTGTGTCGTAATTCAGTCATCACTACCCCAGTCGGAAAGTCCCCCCTGCATTCCCAGAATCATGAAAATAAGATCTGTGGAGAATCCAAGTGATGTTCTTAGTACATTTTTTTCAAAGCATGCAGGGAGCACGTTAGGTGGGTTATGAAGGAGGAAAGGGTGCCAGTTCAAACTCAAGAAACACAAGAGTTGGTTTTTCTACAGGTTTGGTTTTTTGCCAGGTCTCAGCTCCTCCTGCAGGCAGAGCAGACACTGCTGCAGTAGCATAACGTGGGATGGGCAAGCGGGGTACATGCCCTGGGTGCTGCCAAGTGGGAGGAGGGGTGCAGAAGGATGGAGAGGCTGTGCCTCACTCGCCCATCTCATGCTGCACCTACACGGAGGGCTGAAGGAAGCAGTTGGTGCAGGCAGTGTATATCATAGAGCACAAGGCATTCTGGGCATCAGAGTTTTTTTTGTAGAGCGGCTGGGGGGGGGAAGAACTGATGCCTTTTTTTTCCCACTGAAATCAGCATTTTTTTCTGCCTTCTTGACATGGACTTCTGCAGCAAAAAAATGAGGTGGAAGTTTGCCCCCAGCAGCAACAAACTCTACTGCCACTATAGAGAAATACAATTCCCAGAAAATAATGCACTCCATCACACGTTGCCTGGTCATTGTTCCTGCCTGCTGCTCTGTGCTGAAGCTAGAGGCAGTGGGAGAAGGATGAGATAGTATTGAGGCACATTCTGACGATGTTACACCTCTGGTTTCCTGAACAATAGATGCGGAGAGTCACAGGCGCCAAACTTCAAATCTGTTTGCATACATGCCTGCAGATGTAAATCCTTTGCTTCCCTAAGTTGAAATGAATGGACTGTAATTTTTAAAGCTGTTTATTTAGGAGCTGACACTTAGAGACATAACCATCATTCGAGGCACCTCTAAGAACATCAGTCTTTTATCTCAAGACATGTGCTTTTGTCTGTATATAAAGGAACACACTCCCTGCTAAATCTGAGCAGACAATTTCTGGATTTCACAAAAAAAAAAAATTCTGTTCTTCAACCAGCTCTTGACCATGTATAAAACTTCAGCAAATGAAAATGAGCTCACCATGAACTAGGTTATTCAGAAAGACTTATTTTTAAACAATATTTCTTCATTTAGTAATGAATGCAACTTATCTACTGGAGGACTAAATTTTTGGCAAGCATTAAAAAATTGAAGTTGAGTTCTTACTCCAGTGGCAGCACATGAAGCAGTCATTAGAGGCATGAAAGGAATTGTCTAACTCAATGGAATTTCTTAAACTTTTACCTTTGGGCTGAGATTAAGTCAGACAAGTTTCATGATCTGTAAATTGTATTTCTTTGGAAAGTGGAGAAAGGGGTGATTAGACTGTTGAAAATAAGAGCTAGAGCTGGAACAGCTACTTGAACTTTAACCTATACCAGTGCACAGCAGAACTGCAATAAAGTCTTATGATTCATATTTTATATTAATTTAACTTCCCCTTCTCTGAAAATGTTCAAACTAAATGAATGTGGGTGTGGTGAGAAAGAAGGAAAAAGGAGATCACACTTTTCATGACCTCTGTGGACATCTGCCCCTGAGAAAGTATCTTAAACCAGTCTCATTAGGTACTGGGGCAAGAATAAAGTGGTCTCTGCGAGGCAGACAAAGACTCATTTAGAATGCACTCCTACCTTCCTATACTAGGAAGTTCACCTACTGCTGAAAGTAGTTTTCAAGTAATAGATCCAGTTGCAAAGGCCTGTCTACATAAGGGAAACTTTCCTAACAACTGGAACCTATTTTAAAACCAGTTCAGAGAAACCAATTTTAAAAACAGCTGGAGTTATAATACAGCCCATGCTTCTGGCAGCTAGAACCTTTTCTACTGAACCCATTCCAAATCTGTAATCAGTAAGTTTTGAAACAGGATTTTTTCTTCAGTGTTGGCCAGGCAAGGAAATGAAAGGGTAACTAGGTTTTACCTTAATTCTCTAGAAGAGTCAAGATGCAGTCTCATCTTTTGAAACAATATTGAAAATAGTTCTGTTCAGACCCCATAAGCAAATAAACCATAAGCAAAGAGCTCACGTTCAGCAAAGATTCTGCCTGCCTAAGAGCAGGTTTCAAGATGCCTTTGATAAGGCGGTCTTAACAACATCTATACCGCCAACTTTAATTTTTACAGCACCCATGAATAAGTCCAACCAAAACCATACCATTTTGCTTAAATTGAGAGAAGGTGAGGTCTTCTTATTATTTGCCTTCCAGGTTTTTAATCTTTAGGGCTTCTGTTTCCTAAGTTTTACTCAACATTCACAAGGTCCAGCAACATTTTTTGTTCATGAAACTGGAGAAACTGATGTAATCCTACATCTGTAGGAGCCTGGGCTTTAGGGAAAAACACCAATCGTCACAAGGTTCATGATGCAATTGCAAAATCGCTGCAAGGCTGCATTAGTATCCAAAGGGGAGACAAACTCCTCCAGAGAACAGAAATTCCTTCTACCCAAATGAGCACAAACCCTGCTCTATATCCAGGCAAGCTAGAGGAGGAGATCCTACAGCTTAGAGCTACAGGACACTTTTACACATGCTCGGATGTGTTCTCATTAGAACGCGTCAGAGCAGGCTCGATTAATTGAACAAGCTTTCGTTAAAGAGTCCCTGCCACCATTTTGAAACGCAGGACACCGAATACACAAGAGACTGCAGGCGTTTTAATTTGAGTGGCTCCCAAGAGCTGCTCTCACTAAATTTCCCCCACACCCCCATCCCAGAGTATGTGTATAGCCCCCCTTAGTGCCTACTTCTTTCCAACCAATGGCAGAGGGGAAAAAAGAGAAATTAAAATACAGTTTATGCACTTGAGAGCAAGATCATTGTCTCTCACCCCCCACCTGACCCAAAAGTCCCACTCTGCTACCTGTGCTGTAGATAAAACGCTGTTCAGAGCACAATTCAACATACCTGATGTTTTCATTGAGGGCGTAAAGTTCGTTGTTTTGCAAGCCTCCCCCTTTGAACACATTTATCACTGCTGTTTGAACACTGCCAAAAAGAAATGAGACAGTATTACAACCATAAATAACACGTGTCAGGATGATTTAGCACATGGAGCAATCTGAACCAGCAGCCAAGAGCCAAGTGGATATAATGGGGTGGGAAGGTTAATTGCACTTAAATACTTCCACTTTTTCTCCCCTGGAAATCATCACTCTTGTTTGCCTATGTCTCTCACGGGAGACAGAGCAGAACAAATGTAGCCTGTGCCTACAGTAGGTGAAGGAAAGCCATTATAGGCACACAGAATACATCATAAAACCAAGGCTGCATGCGAGCTCCTGAACTGCTGCTGGACCTTTCCCACAGTACTCAGGACAAGGAGCTTTGGTGTCGGTGAACTCAGTTCTTCACGACAAAACAGTACTGGGAGGACAGGCTAAATCTCTGCAACATTTCTGGAGCAAGTTATGTAGGTCAAGGGTGTCAAATTCATCTGGCCTTGTAGTCTGGATAAGTCACATAGGGTTGATCCACAAACCAGATCCAGAACCATGTCATCAGGCCCACAAAGGCTGCTTGTGGGACTGGAAATTTGGCAGTAAGAGTGTCAAATCCCGCAGTTTCTCAAGCCACAGCAACCGCCACTCTTCCCATCGCCAAACTTATGGGAGCTGTGGTAATAAATGCTGCCATCACTCATCCAGCCACCTTACGCTGGCCCCATGAGAAGCTCTGCAGGCCTAATGATCTGGCTCTGTGAGCCATATTTTTTACATCTCTGCTGTAGATAATAGTTCAGTCAGATCCAGCCTACTCCCATGTTTTGCAGTCATTGCTTGTAAAATGTTTGCTAGAGTGCTTCTGTGTGCGCTCAAAAGTAGTTTCTTAATTAATATTTTTTTGCCTACTGTAGACAAGGTCTTTCCAGTATTTTCTGCTTTATGATATGCACTGGAGATGCTTGATTATTAGGGAATACTAGGATAAGTCACGTACAGCTTCATGCCACCAACAGACAACTTTACCAGTTGCCAGAATTGGAGCAGAAGCAGCTTTAGAAACCATCACAAAAGGCAAAAGATTTCTCTATGCATTTGAAAACTGACCTTTTGCTGACATTGTTTGCCAAACATGGGTCTTCCTGAACTCCTGCCAAAATGGCTTAACTGTTAGTGCATATGGACACAGTCTCTCTCAACACATTCACAGAGAGCACAGTTAGATCAACCAGTCTTCAATCTGTGTCAATGATGGGTCAGTTCCACAATGTAGACAAAACTGGAAAAGTTCCAGAAATTCATTCAAGCCTACTACCAGAATAGCTAAGGTGTAAAAGCCTTTAAGTACCACGTTTCAGATGCACGAGGTCAATACCTGGAGACCTTCACAAACCAAGACATGTTTGGCCTAGGCCCACTGGGTCCTCCTCACCTGTTCCATGCAGAGTTGGAGCTGAGCTGCAAAGCCTGCCGTGCTGCTTGAAACCGTGGCAAGTCACTGAGCACTGGAGAGCTCATGAAGCGAGGCCTGGGTCTTCGAAATGAACCCATCTTCTGGAATGGGAAAGCAAAGGGTGGGACTAGGGTGGAGCCCCCGGTCATAGATTCAGATGGAGTGGAAGCAGGTAGTCTGGGAGCTGTCTTCTTCTGAAGGTCAGACTAAGGAGGGTGCAAAGGACGCAACTGCACTGGCACAGACTGGGTCCCCGTTCTTCAAACCCAAGGGTTCAAACTGCAGCAAAAGCAAAAGCAAGTCTTCAAATAAGTGTTACCCAAAACAGAGGTCAGGGACTACTGCAGTCCTGGGCTTTAAAAATAAAGACAGATAAAGGGCAGAGAGGGGGAGGAAGAAAAACTATATAAAGCCTTAATCACCATAATGAATAAGGCAAAGCCGATAGCTCTTCAACAGCACTGCCCTCTTGTCTTGCCCCTGCAGTAGCCAGTCATAAAAACAAGCCATGGTAGAAACCTGCAGGCTTAAGCAGCTCCTTTCCTCTCCCTTCAATTTAGCCTGGTGTTTCTCCTCTCCTCCCACTTCAGTTTAGATCATCTTTCTAAAGTACAAGAGGGACTTTAGAAATGCCTTAATTATAGAGCTATATATTCATATGCCTGCCCTAGGGAGCATGAAGTTGGGAGGGGAAACTGCAGAGAATATAAAAAAAAAAGAGATACATACCAGGGGAAAGAGGACAATAAACAATGGAAGCTGTTCTGTGGCAAGAACATGGTGAGAAGGAAATAAAGGTACCCAAACATGAGTCTATAATGAGTAAGAAAATAAGGGGCTTCTACAAAAGATGCTAGGGAACCAGTGATTTAATTAAAAGGCACATTGGGTTTTTGATCCACATAGCCTAGCAGTTGCTTCTGTCTATCTACAAAGCATACAACTCTTCCCTTTGATTATCATCTTCATACAGATGAACAAGTAGCCCTCGGTAAACCAGATAAATGTCAGAGGTTAAGCTGGGTTTGGATAAACCCATAGAAATTCAGAGTTGAGCCAAAGCTCCTGCTGTATTTGGCTAGATAGTATTTTAGGAGTTTGAAGGCAATATAGTGGAGGGGGGGCAATTGAGCTGAACACTCAGGAGATAGAAGGCAAACATCTCTTTCTTTTCTATTACATCAAGAGAACACCAGGAAAAATAAATAAATTAGGATGTCTATGGTAAAACAACCACATTCCCATTCCATGATTATCCCCTGAGGGCATGATCCATTTCTAGCAGCTTCGGGAAGCTTTATTGCCCCCTCTGCCCCCAACCCACACATTCATTTCTTGAATGTCAGGCTTGGCAGGTTTCTCCCTACTGAGCTAGTCCCATTAGGATCGAGCCCTTCTCCCTACCCCCATCCTTGACGTCCATTTGCTAGATTCTGACTAATTGCTCTAAAACTAGCATGCACTCTGGAGTCTGCCCCAGATCATATTATCCCAGACTCTAAGGAAGCTTGAGAAACTGAAAAGAACTAGAAAACCCAACGATTTATGCTGGGTCTCCCTCAAAATCCCGTTTTTCAACCAGCCTTACATTGTATTACAAGGGTATCGGGATCTTGTGCTTTAACTAGAAATTACTGAAACAGACCTCATTTATGAAGCACTGACAATATGTTCAAAGCACTAAAATCACCAAGACATCATCCCAAGGCTGCAATCTGTAACCCTGTGTGCAAAACTCCAGGTACATTATTTAGACGCATTTAATTTAATTTGGATAAGCTCTTTCTGGTCCAAACAGTGATGCTCAAATCCATTTTTTTCTGACACTGAACCTGTTAATGAAGCAAATCCCCTGATAATCTGCTGAATGTTGGTATGATAGGGTGTTTTGGGATAAAGTGCCTCTAGCTGGATGTTTTGCTAAAAACAAGGAAAAAAGATAGCAGTGAAAGAGTTAACTGTGCTGACATTTTTCATCTTTAGATTTAAAAACTAACAACACAAAGTGAATAAAACAATTCATACCTCTCAGAGGTATGGCAATATAAAGCCTAGGTAAAGGGACAATATAAAGGCTTGAAGGGAAAATACACATGTATTTTTTCAGAGCGAATGCAATGGCATTAGTTTATACCAGTGTAGGAAATAGGAGAGTTAGGTGAAAACTTGTATCACTCTGCATGACTTTATATCATTAGTAACATCCCACCTACCTAACAAAAGAATGCCCATGTGTATCTAACACAGCTACATCACAGCATTTCATTAGGCCGTGTTCAGTTGACATGTTTAATGGTTTTCTTTGCAGTCAAGAGTACTAAAACAACTACATGAAATCTTAGATCCTGGAGCACAAATCTGTGAAGAGAGATCTGCCAGTGTGAATTTCTTGGGTTGGCTTCTACAGATTTTTAAAGCCCCGGGGATCTTTATGATCCTCTGGCCCTACCTCCTGCAAATTCATTAGATAGATTCCACAGCAAATTCCACAGTTGCAGGTTCATGGGATAGACGGGGTCCTGTGACAAACTTCCTGAATGGCTGTTATTAAAAGAACATGCTTGCTCTTGCTCGCGGAGACTTACATGCTGTTTTCCTTAATCTTCTATCAAAAAAAGTCACCCAGACAGATAGTACATGTTCACATCCAAGTCCAGAAGATAAACACATTCCCTTCGCCCACACCCATCACTACAGGTCACCGTCAAGAACTGAACACAAGACATGCAGCATGAAGGGCCTAATCCAATGATCTCATAGATCAGTGGGAGCCTTTCCATTGCTTTAGGACTCAAATACATGAGGACTTAAAACACTTTGGCTAAGAGAATTAGTAAGCTGTTATCTTCATATGGCCCATCCACTAGGGGGCATTAAAAATAATTGGCAGTTCATTGGCCATTTTCAACTGGAACTGCTAACAATTACTTCTGCCTCCAGCCTCTCCCCACTGCCTTCTTTTGCTATGTTCAGGCCATCAAAAAGCAACAGATGACTCACAAGAAAGCATATTTTTGCTAGAGCAAATGTTAATTTGGAGACCTAATCTATATCAGCGATTCTCAACCAGGGTGCCATGGCACCCTGGAGTGCCTCAAAATCTTTTCAAGGGTGCCCCAAGGTGTCATGCAATGTTTCCATGTTTAGGTGTGCAAACATGACTCCGAGATTTCAAGCAGGAATCCATAGTATTAAAAACACTCTTATCTGTTGTGGTCTTTCCAAGTTCTTTGCAAATGAGAAACTGCTTTCTTATTTTCCCATAGTCAAAAAATAAGAGACAACTAAGGGCTAGCATTTTCCAAGGGGTGTCTCAAGTCTAATGAAGTTGAGAACCACTGAGCTATAAATCAAGCATCCAAGTGAGGCCCCTAGGTCCTCCTTATTCCTCTGCAACATCTGCCAAAAGCCATGAGACCCAGTTTTTCTTTCCACAGTAACTACTTTATACCCAGATATCTTAAGACAAGGTTCCCTTGTAAACACTACCTCATTTTCACAGGCATATTTTGTTAGTATTTTATTGGTTGTGTCTCTTTTATGTGTTCCATAATGTGCAATTTGTAGAGGGTTTTTTGCTGAGAGAAGCTATCTTTGCGGTTGGAGAGGCATCGATGTAGTTATAGGTTTGTAAGGAGTCTTCATGACATTCTGGCTAATTTTGGCTACCAGGAATGCACAGTATGTAACAAATTGCTGAGTATGACAAGTTTATAACTGTTTTGCCTCCATTTTCTATGAAATCTAGTAAAGAATTATACATACACGCACAAAGCATTTCAGGAAAAGGGATTCACTTCTGATGTTCCTTCAATCTTCTCCAAACACTTCCTCTTTCCTCCTCCTTCTTCAGCAATCCCTCACAGTCAAGGATGATTGTCCTCTGTGATTATGTTATGTGTGTATCCGAAGATGGCTGATCAGGCCTATTCAGGATTGACAGACTCGACTGTAGCTTGGACATGTGTTTCCATGTGGGTTGGGTGGTGCTGGATCCTTGATTTGGTCTGCAACACACTGGTTTTATTGTTCAAACACTTCCATCTCCTGTTGTTGTGAGGTTTCAAAGTACTGAGATCCCTGCAACAAACTCTTTCTCCATTTGGGGTGGTCCTGGACGATGGCCTCCCACGAGTTGATATTGATGTTGCATTTTTTTAAGGTGACCTCAAGGACATCCCTGAAGCGCTTTCTCTGGCCTCCTCTTGAGTGGACATGTTGGCTGAGCTGGGAGAATAAAACTTGTTTCAGGAGTCTGGAGTCGGACATTTGGTTGACATGGCTGGCCCAACGAAGTTGATGTCAGATGATCCTCGTGGTGTTTGCTTGCAGAAGGAGGCTAACGTTGGTGCATCTGTCTTCCCACTGGATGTGGAGGGTCTTCCACAGGTAGTGTTGATGGTACTTCTCCAGCAACTTTAGATGTCTCCTGTACACTGTCCATGTCTCAGGTTTGTACAGCAAGATGGGGATCATGAATGCTTGATAAACCATGAGCTTGGTTTCAGATCTGATGCTGTGATCTTCACACACGCATTTCTTCAGGCATCCAAAGGCTGTGCTTGCACATTTAGGCAATGTTGGATTTCTTCATTGATGTCAACCTTCTGCGAAAGATGGCTTCTGAGATATGGGAAATATTCAATGTTCTGTACAGTCTCACCATGGATCTGAATTAATGGAACTGCGGACTGTTTATTAGGAGCTTGTTAGTGGAGAACCTTAGTCTTCTGAATGTTAAGCATCCATCCCATTTTCTTCCATGCCTCAGTAAAGACGTCGACAATTACCTGAAGGTCTGCTTCTGAGTGAATACATGCTACAGCATCATCAGCGTACTGGAACTCAGTAATTGAGGTCACGGTGGTCTTGGTTTTGGCTCAGAGTTGGCTGAGGTTAAACGGCTTGCCATCCATTCGGTAGTTTAGTTCCACTACAGCTGGAAGCTTGTTGGCGGTCAGATGTGACATCACGGCAAGGAATATTAAGAAGAGTGTTGGAGCAATGAGACAGCCTTGCTTAACTCCCCCCATTTTAACCTCCAAGGGGTGTGTGATAGATCCATTACTGAGAACCACTGCTCAAATACCATCATGGAGCAGGCAGAGAATGGTGACAAATTTTGGTGGGTATCCATACTTCAGAAGGATCCTCCACAACCCTTCTTGGCTGACAAGAGTCAAAAGCTTTCATTAGGCTATAGGAGGCCATGTACAGAGGCTTATGCTGTTCCCAGCATTTCTCCTACAGCTGGCAAGATCGTGTCAGTTGTGCCTCTT